CCGAGCACACGTTCGAGTGAACAGGAAATGCTGAGGTCTCCTTTGCCATTGGTGGCGCGGATGGTCTCCCGCAGCCCCTGCGCCCGGGTTGCGCGTGTAACAGCGGGGAGTTTGCCAGCACCGTGAGGTGCCTCATGAGCGTCCCGGCTTTGAGCAATAGGAGCCCCGCCTGAATCTCTGCGAGCAGCAGGCACTTGTCACTGAGCCAGATGACGTTCCCTCATCGACTGGCACGGGTGCTGCTGCTGGAGCAGGCTGGAGCAGGTAGGTAGGTAGGTAGGTGTGTGTGTGTGTGTGTGTGGGGGTGTGTGTGTGTGTGTCTGTACTTCCTACAATTACAACCGTGAAGGAAGCTTGAGATTGATTTCAGCCCTCCAGGACAGATCGTCGCGAGGGGTTTGCCACATTTCCTGGTTCTGCAGCCTGTCGACCCAGAATTTGAACTCTGAAGCGTTGCTTCAAGCTCCTCGTATTCGTGGCACCCACTCCCGAATCCATACCACTCCCGCGTTGGCACCTCCATCGCCGCAAGATCTTCCGTGCGCGCGAGCTGACCATTGGCTCTGGCTACAGCCGTTGAGGCATTCCTGAGTGGCTTTTCCGCCGACCGTGTTCCAACCATGTTCAACCCACGTGCACATGCGCTTGGGTGTTGCATGGTGTTGCCATTGAAGCATTTTCTCCCGTTGCTTTCGTAGCTGGCCAGGCGCGAACGGTCCAGATGACACGTGTGCCTCGGTGCCGCAGCTGACGTAGAAGCTTCACTGCAGTGAGAGTTGTACTGCTGGGGTGACACGAGGTTCGCAAGCTCATGATAGACAGCCAAAACCAAGCCAAGCTACTTGTGCTTCCATGAGCAAGACCGGACAGGAAAGGATTGAGATTAGGTCCGGGTTGGTGCTGGAGAGTGGCTTGAGCTTCTAAGGGCGTGCATTGAGCAGCTGCTATGGCTTGTGCCTGAGCCAGTAGCCTTATACGCATCATGCTTCATGTGATGCTGCACGTGGAGCACTCTGCAACGTACATTGAAAGGGTTGGGGAAGCACACTGAGGTGCAGCACGATCCAAGCTCAACTACAGCGAAGCAGGCTTCGATGGCACTTCAGCTTCGCCAGCTGCAGAAGGTGCCCAATTCTCCTGCGGGATTCAGGTTCGAGGTTGTCCGATGTATGGTTGACACTCAGAGCCGGGTGTAGGGAAGCGGGGAAGCAGGAGTGCTTTCGTAGACAGGACCAATGGGCTCATTCAAAAGAGTTTTGGTTGAACATGGCACGAAGGTCTACCTGGTGGCCCTCGCGCTTTCCTTCTTGTCTGAAGCCTTTGCCTGCGACAACAGCCTCGTGACGGGGAAACACAGGCATTGAGTTGAGGAGATGGGGCTTGAGGCTTGAGGTCATGTTTGACGTCTGCCAAAGTTCAAGATTCGCCTTCAGAGCTTTCCTGGAGCCAAATTCATGCCTGAATGAGCATGAACCCGAGACAGACTTGTCCGTGCTGTCGGTTTTCAGTTCGTGTCAACTGCCGTGACTTCCAGAGCCGAGCGTACAAACGACTTCGCAGGCTGCATTTGGGTGTAGCTGGGCACTTTGCAGTAGGGATTCGTTTATCGCTCTCTGTTTGCGTGTCTTGGCTCCTTACCCAGTGACTCCTTTTCTGCCCAGAACATCCCAAACATCTGTTCCCAACGATTTTCGCCACGTGCTGTCAAGCGCCTCAAGCGCGATTTGTACACCTCACGAGCCGGAAAGTATTCTTTCACGCCCCAGCGTGTGCATCACCATCATGTTGGTTGTGAGGATGTTCGGTTGCTGCTGCAGCGTCTGCTAAACATTCCTGCTCCTGCTCCTCCTCCTAATCCTACTACTTACTACTACGGTTACCGCTACGACTACAACAACAGTTTCCTCCTACTACTGCTGCTGCTGCTTGCAGCAACTACTGGTAGCACCACCACCAATGCCGCCCCCACTACTGCTGCTACAACAACAACAACAAGTACTTCTACCACGTCTACCGCTACACACTGTTCGGCGCGGCATGGAGCCTGGGCTTCGTGCTACCGGGTGGACCAAGCGAGTTCGCGTGAGGCGTGCAGGGGCTGCTTCAACATCGGTGTCCCGTTCAAAGATCCCCATCACGGTTGTTTCCACGTTAGCCATCAGAATCATTGCTTGCCGGGTTTTTGGCGGTCAATGGGGATTGGATTCGGAAGCTATCTCTCCAGATGTTCCGGGTCCAGCAGCGGCATCGGCCACAACATGGTCGTGACGATGGTACTTTAGGCAAAAGAATAGAGCTTGAAGGGTGGTTGCTTGGTTGAGCGTTTGTGAATCCAGGTGCAATGCGCGGGTCCTCGGAAAGCAGGCGCCGCCGATTCCATTGTTCAAGTGCCCAACGGTGTGACCCTTTCGGCCTGTCTGACGACAACCCCTTCGCTACATGCATCGCACCGTGCCTGGGTTCCATGGTTCTTGGAACCTGGACCGAAATCCACCCTGGAGTCTCGAGTGTCAAGTCTCGAAAAACCAGATCCCGTCGTAGTAGTTTCCTTGGCACTGCCAGGTGTGGATACTCCTTGCTTGCTTTACGACGCCGGGCACCGTCCGCCCTGCTGCATGCAGAAGGGGCAAGGGGTGGCTTAGTAATATATGCCAGAGCTACTGCTCGGTACTGACAATCCTTAGCCATAGTCGATGTTTCCCCACCCCCGGGACGTCTTTCACGCCTAAGGTTGCAGAAGACATCCGCCAAGCTCTGGCTTCCGACGATGCTTGTGCCGCAGACTCTTGTGGGCTAGGTATGCTGCAGGCCAGAGTGTTACGGCGCTTGAGGAAATGCACCTGAACGTTCTGTCCATGGTTTTGTCGGATGCGGGCTTTCAATGCGGTTCTGGCATGGTAGAATCTATGCCACTGTAACTTTGCAGCTTGTGTTGTTCGGATTCGTCCGATGTCCCTCTTTCTCCGTACAACGCCAAGCAGGCCCAGATTTATGAGTTCGATTGTTCTCAGCTGTTCCCGCCCGCCGCTGACAGGCGATCATTGCTTCATGTCGACAATTCGTCAGAATCTCGATATATCCCCGAATACCATTGAATCTGCCAGTGGACAGAAGCGTTGGGAATCCAAAGCATAGTTTACATCTCCCACCGACCGGCTTCGTGCAGGTGGGCGCGAGCCAGGAGGCTCGAAGCATGCAGCGATTTGGAACCTTGTGGGAGCTTCGAAGCACGGCGCGAGCTTGTCCTTGTAGATGCTGTAGATGAAAGGGTGTCAGTTCAAACAAAAGGGGTGCTGGTGATGGTCTCTTTTCCTAAAAGATGAGTATGAACAGCAGCTTGGTCCATCTTGTGGTGGTGGAGTTTGCGCCAATATACCGCAACAAACGGCATGCAACCATCAAAACAGAAGCTAGCAATTCGACTTTTATAGGAGCAAGGGCACCTCACGGTAATCAACATAGCTTTCGCCCAATGACATAGAAGATGTGCCAGGTGGAGGGCAGCTCATACTGGCAAGGCCCGGCCTGTGCAGCACGGGACCGTGTGTAGGAATGGGAACCAGCCTTTGCTTTGCGCGCGGATGTCTACTGACAACGAAGGCCTGTACATGCCGGACAGAGAGAGCCATGCAGGTGTGCGCGAAACCGGCACCACGTGCTTCTTCAGCAACTGTCCGGGCAGAGCCTGCACTTGCAAGTTATACGAAGCTGGGTGGGGAGCTTGAGCTCTTGAAGGGGCACCTCACATCATCAACCCAAGCTGGACTCTAAAAGCAAGAAGCCGCCAAACTACCCAAGCGCTTGCGTGCTTCCTTGGATGAGGATTGAATCCCGTGGCCTGCCATCACTGGCGATGTGTTTGCCAGGAGGCAAGGGGACAGAATTGAGGTCACACACCAGCCTGCTGCCTTTGATGGCTTTGCAGGGCAACAAATACAACCCAGCCGATGGAGGGGCCTGCGTGGCAAACGACCCTTGGCCTGCAGTGCGCGCAAAATGCAGCAGCTTCAAGTTGGGGCCTCCGGGCTGATTGACATGACCAGAATCTTTCAATGCTTGTTGAAGACGTGTGTGCAAAGCTTGCTGCCCATTTCGTTCTGCAAGGATTCTCCTTCAGCCAGGCGGATGACGGGCAAGACCTGCTGGCTGACAAGCTGCCCAGTGGAGTACGGATCCACGCAGCAACTCTGCAGAAGTAATTGGGCAGCCAGGGCTCCCGGTTGCTGTTGTGCTTTCTTCTGAAGGCTATTCTGTTTGCTCGCTTGCCGCTGATGTCGTTTACAGCCCGTGGCCCCTGCGTTCAGCAGTGGGCCCAGCCTGTGTCCCATTTCTCGATGTACCTAACTCTTCGATATCTGAGAGAGGTTTGAGGCTTTGTAGTATGAGTTGAAAGCTTCAGGTTCTGGTCTAGTGTACCACGATCATGGCAGGGAGGCGGTTGCGGATGCGGCACTTCGCTCAGGCAGTTGAAGTCAATGTCCCAAGAGCGCATTCTTGGCTACATTCGGGGTTAATCATGCCAAAGGAATGTGGGATGACAGACTGAGATAATGACTTGCTGCTGCTGTTTCTGGACAGGGCTGCTCCTCTCTTGAAGCAGGATGATATGAATGCAGGAGCTAGGCCCAGTGCCACGACATGACGACATGTCAAGTGCTGCCAAGAGATGATGGGAGTTGCTGGTGGGGCTGTGTAGCGTTTGCCATCAAGGGTCCAATGACTCGGCCCATCTGCACAATGTTACGACATCTCTTTGGCTGCCACGAGATGTGTTTCGACCTCCAGTTTCGAAGCCGACCGGCCCTTTGCAGTTGCAGTGCAGAACACCCAAGGTGTGTGGGACACGAGTGCGTTTGCGATGTCGGGTTCGAATTCCAGAAGGCCAAAGGCCAGCCTGCATACATCGGCAGTGTCCACTGTTCTTTAAACTGGGTCCTGCATTCCGCATGTTGTCATGAGTGCAAGTCTGGCCCGAGACCGAACAGAAACTTCCGAGAGCCATGCAGACTGCCAGTGTTCTCGGCTTGGTCGGTTCGGCGAAGGCGGGGTCATCGGGCCCGTCAGTGGTGTTGCTGCAGCCGATGCCATTGCATGTAAACCATCGGGTTCCTGGCCCAACTCGGTGTGTCTGGTGATTGCAGGAGATGCCGCGAGCGCCCCGCGAGCAATGTGATGGGCTGCCGCGGCTTTTGGGGCGAGATATGCCAGGCCGCTGTGAGGTGCTCGACAGGCTGTGTATCATCAGTTGGGCAGCATAGCGACCGGACTGATGCTTTCACGGGTTTGCAGAGAGGGCCGCCACGCTCCGCAGCCTTGAGCCCTCCCTTTGAGACGGAACGGCAATTTTCAGCGAATGCTTGAGCCAGCTCTCGTTCAGAGGCCCGAGTCACAGATGGACCCTTCCTCCAACTCGGAACCTGACCCTGAACCAGTAGGGCTGAGAAGGTCCTGCGCAGCGGAAGCTTCCAAAACACGACCTTCAGGCATGGACGGCGATTTTGAGTGGTGCGTTTTTGACTTCAGGGTTTGATGATTAGTGGATCCGGGTACAGCCTGGCTCGATAAGCATTTTCGGCGGGTTGGGAAGATTGAGATCTCGTCGCAACATAGCTCGTTGAACAGGGCCTGGCTTAAAGCTTAACGTGCATCAATGCCTTGCCTCTCCAGGTGAGGTGGGACGACTTCAAGCCAGACTACCAACGGACACTCGCCGTTTATGGCTGCTCAAGAGTTCTGTAGCAACTGGCAGATCTCTTCCATCGCCAAGTCTGGGCATGGAGACTCAGGAAGTTGGGCGCCGGTGCCTATGGCGGCGTGTACCAAGTGCAGGGCAGCCCGGACAAGGTGGTGTGGCTCGCCTCTGCGGTTTGAGGGGGGGGGGACTCTTATAAGTCTCTGAAGTTCCCACTGCGAGCTGATGCGAGCTGCATCACCCGGAGGTTTCATGAATGCCCCACAGCCCAGGAAGCTCTTCAGCCATTCCGATTGGAGCGACGTAGTGCGGGAGTCGCGCTTTGCACAGACGATGAAGGCACGATATCCACGGCACTTCGTCGACTGCGTGGGCATGGGCAGTGCGCCAGACGATGGTCAGATCTTTGCCGTCTTCGAGCGTGCGACCGGCATGAGCCTTGCTGCCGCTGCTACTCGTTTTCACGTCCCAGAGGGCATGGGGCATGTCAGCCAAGCACTGGACATCTTGGATCAGCTGCTGACAATCATGTTAGACATGATGAAGCCTGATAGCCAAGGAGCCTTGCATCAATTTATGCGCTTGCCGGTTCTGCGAGGGTCGTGAGTGGTTTATGGAGTGATCGCATTTTCAAGAGACTTTTGTCGTGCCCTGCGTGCAAGATGCCTTCGTTTCCGTAGAAACCCTGGCTTGTGTCTAGGCAAGTATCACTTCCACCTGGACTTGAAGCCGGTGGACTCCTCAGTTGGCATCATGGTATCGTATGCCTCCTAGGCCAAGGGGTGGGGAGGAATTGTCGTGGCCTGAGGACAACATCATGATTTCCACCAACACCGATGGCAAGGGCCACGATGTCAATGTCACGTTGATCGACTACGGCATCGTGAAGACATGTGAGCATGGAGACAGGAGCGTCGAGGAGACCCAATGCCAACCACTAAGCAAGAAACATCACCGCGGCAGCAGAAAGAACGAACCCATGGTAGACCTCACCACTCCCTGAACGCTTTCTGTGCCCGCGGGCAGGACTCTGCGCAACAGCTCTTCCGCTGGTTTGGATGGGAGCTGCTCTGGGCGCCTTGCATCAGCTTCTGTCTATTGAACACTCACGAGCAAGCTTTGTGCTGCGACGGGTGGACGAGCAGTAAGGAAACGACGGAGCGTCACAGTCAGACCAAAGCAGTCGAAAAGTCGGAACGACTGCGGCGTACGCCCCGTTGGGCCCCGACGGTCATGAGGACGGGCGGGCCGGCAAAAGAAAAGGCTTGAGCCGAGCTTAGCCAGGTTCAAGTCGTTACAACGGCAGAACTCTAGGATCTTCCTCTAACAGTCAAGTTCTGCCTATTCACACTCGACCGGCGTTGGGCCCACCTCTGGAGGGTCATTCTGAGGTTCCACCAATCCAAGACACATTGCGCCAATTTTTCTGACCACCAACACCTGAAGCAGTCTTCATCTCATGGGTCAATGATTCCTTGCGAGGATAGTAGTATGCAACCAATGCAATGGGACTTTCCATGTGGTCGGAGAAATGTCCTTGAGACATCCAATGCAGCAATTTCCTGATCGCCGCGATGTCCAGTACTGGCGGAACGCCCTGGTTCGCTTCAACCAAAACTATATTTTTTCTGGGCGGAGTTTGATCCAGGCCACCAAGCACTGCGCCACTCGTCTTAAGGAGAACGGTGGCATCCTCCCAAAACTCTGGAGACCATGAAGATGTCGAGCAACAAAATGATGGAGACGACCAGCCGAGGGGTAATGAACCTGATCCAAATCGGTGCTCGTGTAGAAGATGGCTTCCCCGTTCTGCAGGAGCACTGCCAACTTCGATGCGTCCTCCTCCTGGATGTTGGTCTTAGGCCGTTTAGGGTCGGAAGTCGAGGGTGCCGTTCCGGTCGGTGCGACCTTCCCACGTCATCCCACGTCGGCAAGCCGGCTGGACAGAAAGTCTGAAGGTCACCCGACAGTGGTCGCACAGCCAGTGTGTGACGCAGGACTGGCTTCGGAGCGGGAACTGGTGCAGCCTTACGCGGAATCCCAGAATCACCAGATGCTGATGCTGTAGCTGTGGATCCGGAAGTAGGGAAGGCGGCATTTTCGCCCTGACACTATGGTGATTGCACGGGCGCAATCCCTACCTCCCAGATCCGAGAGCTCAATATCCTGATCGAGAAGCCTTCCTCACAACCTTCAGGGGCCAACGCTCTGACCTTGCACTGCAGCTCCAAACCGTTCTGGTAGAACTCGGTATCGGCCGGGAGAGCTTCTTGTGGTCCGCGAAAAGTGATCGCCTGGAAGCCTGTTCCCACCCTCGCACGTGCTAGGTCAAGGTTGGGTGTCGGGACAGCTCTTGTTGCCATTGTCCTCCTTGAACAAAGACGTCAGCAGCAGCAGAGCCACCTTTCGCAGCTATGTAGAACCCAGACCAGGAGAGCGAGGAGGCCAATGATCCAACCGACGATGGGCCAGTAATTGTCGAAGCATAGAAGGCCCGTGGTATCGATGGAGCCCGCCAGCCTCCTTCAGTGCGGAGGGCACCCGAGGTTGTTGGAGTAGAAAAGAGGCCGGTGGGCGACCATCCGAATATCACCCGAAAGTTCAGTTCACTCCAAAGGAACGAAAAAATCGATGAGGTGCTGCCGACTCATCGTCTCCGAGTGGAGCACCCTCAGGAGGTACCCCTGCCGAAGTCGAGGGAGCATGCACCGGTGGTGATTCCACCTTAGGTGAGTCCACCCACCTAGGGAGCCAGCTGTCCACAACCGTGGAGGCGATTTCTGGCAGAACCCAGTTGCAAAAGAAAACGCTTGAGCCGAGCTTAGCCGGCTTGGCCAGGTGCAAGTCGTTCAACGGCAAAGCTTTACGTTATCTCTAACAGTCAAAACGTAAAGGGATGGGGTTGGTCTTGAAGAGGCAAGGCCTTGCAGCCCTGCCTCGTGATTGAAGCAGCCAGCAGACTCAGCAGACATTCAACGGGGGCTTGGCCTACCCTCTGCAGTTACGATGCTTGAACAGATGCTCCTTGTGAGTCTTACACTTCGCCCTTCTGCTCGTGGAGTTTTCCCAGAGTCCTTTCAGGTGCTGTCTTCGGAGGCCTTCCACGTCGAGGCGGAGACGAACCCCTGGGAGCAGCTGCCAGACACGGGGTTCGCAATGGCAGAGCGCAAGCAGAGGGAAAGCTGCATACAGTAGCATGGCATTTCACATTCCTGCTCTGTGATCTTTCCTCGTTGTCTCATGCGCGCTGCCCGTGCGATCATCTTGGAACCTGTAGCTTAGCAAAGCTAGGGTACTTGTGATGTTGCGTGGGCGTAGGCCTTGCGGTTGAATCGGCATGTGCGTCGGGCACAATGGGTTCCATGTTGGATTCTCGGAGCAGGGAACCCGGGGAGAGAGACAGCTTCATTTGCTTGTGTGTCAGCTTGTATGGAAACAGGCTCGTCTGCGAGTGCTGCAAATCACAAATACTGTTGTGTTGCTTTACCATCCATCGCTGTAATCTGTCCGCAAATGATGATTGACTTAAGTTTAGTTGAAATGAGCAGCTTCTGCCCTGTTCCGCAGGAAGCAGAAAAGCTTAGCGCAACTCCTGTGTGCAGAGCTCGCCAATCTCTCAGAGCAAGGCAATCCCACTTGTTGGTCGTCCTGCTCTTGGAACTCTTCGTCCCCAAAGGTTGTCTAAAAGGCGTAACTGTACAAGCTGTATCATTTTCATCCAATTCCAGATTTCTCAACAGAAAGCCCTGCGACCTCGCTTGTGGGCATAGGTCTCAGCCATGCGAGAGGGAAAACAACAGCAAGCCCGGACAGCTAAGGAGGGATTCCGGCCGTTCTTCCGCCGTTCGGACCTTCGCCCGGCTGCCTACAGGTCGGAAGGGCTCGGCTCGGCTGGAGGGCTGTCCCGAATTGTTTGTGAGGGAAGATTTGGGTTCAGGCTGAAGGCTTAACGTCTTGGGTCAGTTTGGGTTTAGGATCGCTCTGGGCAGCTGTTAGGAGTCGTTGAGGGGTGCGGTTGAGCGGGGGCGGGCACTGGAGGAGGGGCACACGGGGAAACGACGACCCAGAAGATGACCCCATCATCATTCCTGGCGGAGCAGCAGCGTGAAGAAATTGCTGCGTTGCTGTGGATCTTATTGCTGTTGTCGTATATAGTCGTTGTCTTTTCCTGCTGTTTCCCGTCAGACTCAACGATTCCCGCTTGGTTGTTCGTCTTATTGCCATTCTGGATGCATTTATTTGCCATGAACGTTTTCATGGTTGTTAGTGTTCGTGGCACTGTCGCCATGAACAGCACGCCAGCGAAACTAGAACCCTACTCAGACCTACCCGCTGCACTACTTAAAGCTGACAGCTGCAGCAACTCTGTCATTTCCTGCCCAGCTCAGCCCTGATAAGGACGGAGCAGCTGAGTCCACAACTTCTCCAGGAGCGGTCTTCAAGATCGGTACCCAGTGATGCAAGCCCGAACCCACGATTTCCCTCTTCTCGCTCGCTCTCTCTCGCTACGCAAAGGCACGTAATTGGAGGCTCGAACATCAAGAGGTGGAGCGAGTGCTCAACACCTCCTTCACCCGTCTAGCACACTCAAACGAAGGAGCTGGGGTGTTCGCATAACGAAGTTGTTGCAGGCCTGCACACACTTCCTGAGTTAATCCCAATGCGCACAAGCCTGACAGTCCAAAGCAGGACTCCCTCCAAGATGGCTTCTTCGACGAGGTCGGAACCGGAATTTATTGCTGCTGAGGGGCAGGAGGGTATCTAGCATTACAGAGCCCGAAGCTTCTCATGTCCCGAGAGTCCGGAAGGTCCTGTCGCCAGCTTTTCGCCGGCAGTGGCGCTGCCCAGAGGAGGTTTGTTTTTGGGTATAGGGGCTCCTTGGACTTGTAGGCTGTGTGTTTGACAAGTTGAGCCTATGGCTTCAGGGCTTCTTGAGGACGAGTTGTTATCTGAGGGACGGCCGCCGTCATCACCACCCTCCCTACAATCACTTTCGTCGCCGCTGCTGCCAACACAAGTAGAAGCCCCACTGTACCCCGCTCTAGGCTGTACACCTGACATTGGAGAGGCGAGGCGGCAGCTCGGTCGTCTCCTGGGGGATGCTTTTCATGGTGTGGCCCAGGCCAGCGACAAGGCGCAGTGAAGGGAGGCCGAGGAGGCCGAAGGCGAGTCGGGGATTGGACCACATTTCCCAGCCTTGAGGCCGGTTACACTCCAGACTTCCAGAAGCTGCGCTCCGACGTCCGATCGCTCCGTGCGCTGGCTTCGGAGTGATCGCTGAATTTGCCCGACGGGCAGGAATTTGTATGGGTAACAAGTGCCCCTTTTGACAAACTGGTAGGTCTGGGCTTTGGAAAATGAAAACCGACATGTTACTTCGATATGGCTTGTCCAGAGGATGACTCTCGTCTTTGCTTGTCGAAACATGTTGGGTGATGCAGGGCGAAACCTGCCATGTGAAAGGATAGCCTGGCGTGTCCGTAGATTTGTATGTTTTCAGGTTCCAGAACTGCCGTGTAGATGTACAGGTGTCGATTCTTAGGAATGCAGAGGGTGCAGCCGCAGGATCGGCGCTGTATAGATCAATCTTGTCGGTCCGTGGTATGCGCCATGACACTCGCTGCGCAACGTCGTGAGCGGCGGAGTTCTGGGTGTGGTGACAATGCTGCACCTGAATGCAAAAGGATACAAGGTGACCGGTTCTGTCCTTGAAAGGCTTTCTGGAGGCGTTGTCACCAGGTGCTTTGACTGCCTGCACCCCGTGTAAAGACCCGTGCAGGTGCTTGCATCACTTCACCGGCAGCATCTCCAGCAGGACAGCGCAAGTCCACGGTTGTGTTGATGTTGATGCGTGGAGAGCCATTGCGGTTGAGTCCGTTGAATCGACGCTTTGAGAAGCTCAAGGCCTCGCAAACCGGAGCAGGCTCCGGTCCATGATCTGCAGGGCGATGGCTGGTCAATTTTTTTTGCGATGTCATCGTGTTGAACGCGATTCTAATGTACGCTCAGCATAGCCTACTTCTCCCTTTTGATGTTCCCACAGAGTGGGTAGCGAGGGTACGTCGATGCTCTCTCCTGGATGACGAGTGTGGAGCATGGTTTGTCTGGAGTTCCTTCCGTCGATAGCATGTCAGCGCGGCTTCGAAAAACAAGATAATTTGATGTAGAAGGTCTTGCTTCTTGCACAGCCGGCCCCGCTATCGAGCTCAACTGTCTTTTTTTGAGCACTCTGAAGAATCCTCCCTTGGCGCGGGGTATTCGTTCGACATTTGCCAAGTGATTTTCAAGGAAAAACTCGTCCCCCACGTGTGACGAGACCCTCTCACATGGCTACGCGCATGTCCACTACAGGCGAAAAGTTCTGGCACTTCTTCACGGCAGCGTAAGCGTGCATGAAGTAACTAACTAAGCACGGGTTTTGGGACACGGGCGTAACTTCTGCAACAGACTGAATTCCAGCCACAGCCCCACAGCCAGCATTCGCAAGGAGCTCCGTAGGTCTGGGCCTCAGCCACCTCGCGAACTCCGAGCGCCCACTGTGGAGACCCATATCCTATGCATCGCTAGGCAAAGAATGGCCAAGATGGCCTTGAAGGTTTCGAGTTAGGGACGCAACTTTTGCGCATCTGTTCTGATTCTGCAACGAGCCCTGTGCTTTCTAGCTGCTGGAGTCGGTAGTTACGAGGTTGCTGTCGTATCGCCATTTTCTGGGCCTTCGAAATTAGGGTTTTCTTCGGACTCTTCAGGAATTGACGGTTTCCTGCAGTTTTCACCTCTCGGACCCGGTATTTACGAGCTTTCTGCTGTTTCGGGGTCTTCCGGCTTTTTTCAGCCTCTTCAGGCAGGAGGGGGTAACATGATAACAATCATGCTACTCCGTCTTGGTTCCGTATGCTTTGTCTCAGAAACGTTCAATCCGAACACAGTGGCAAACGAGGAATAATACGCATGCAGGCTCCAAGAGGAGCGTTGTGGAGGCAAGCTGTCTCCAAACCCAAACTGTTTGTTTTGTCCCGTCCCAATGCCCCTCTTGGAGCCTTCAAGCATATGATGCCTCGCTTGCAACGCGCCACCAACCTTAATAGTTGGATCTCTTTGCCTCGAACGTGCGGTCGAAGCCTTCAGACCTCTCCAAGGCTTCCGCTTAGTGACGAGGGCAGCTGGGTCGTAGGATAAGCATCGGAACATAGTGTCCATCATGGCTTGCTTCTTGGAGCAGTCTGCTCGGCTTGATGCTCCAGCATCCAATCTGTAGGCCGTAGGCTTCCTCGTTGCAGGAGGCCGTATTAGGGCGGCGTTCAATCTGAAGCTGAAGCCTTGTGCCCAACTGCAGCTCGAGGCAGCAAGTGCAGAGCAAGGTGTGGAGCAGACGGAGCCAGGTCGGAACAGATAGCGCAGCTACTCTTTGGGAGAAGCTGGCCCCAGAGCTGTCATGAGTTCTGATGGCATGGGAGTGAAGTCGAGGTTAGTGTCGCTTGCGACACTGTAATTGCTTGGCTCATGACAGTCAGAGAAGACATAGAACCACAGGCCGATGGCCGAACCTGCTGCGTGCATCATCCAAAGTGCGTGCCTCAACTGTGTTGGCTTCCAGACTCACTTTGTTTACTGATGCAGAGCAGCTACCGGGGCTTGCTTCTATACTAGCAGTAACTAGCGCACTGCCTGGGTCATGGCATCACAAGAACTAGTCTCTTCCAGACCGATGCTGCTTTGACCTACATGGTGCCTGTCTAACGAATGGGGTTGTCGGAAAAGCGAGTGCGCAAACGCATGGAGGCAGAAACCCGGCGGACGAGTCACTTGTTTGCGTTATGTGCCTGACGACACTCCCTTGCCTCTTCTTCGGACTACGGAGGTTGCCTCAACTAGCTGGGCATGGTGTTGAGTGCAGCCGGGATAGGGCGCTGTTCTGTGGTAGCATGCTGCATTTCAGCAGGATTTGCTTTTACCTGCCTGTGGCAATTCTGGCTTGAGGTCGAAGCCAGACCTCAATAGCGCATGAATGCACAATACGAATACAAACCACGACCACCAGCATTATGATGCGTCTACAGCTCCAAAGGAGTGAATGATGGCTGAGCACAAAAGAAAGTCTGCACAGCTGGTCGGGTGTCGGTTCGTTCAGGATCACTATCAGTACCGTTCAGTTCCGCGGGTAGTGATATCGTACTTGTATGTGCCGTAGGCTTTGCTGTGTTCTCGGTGTTGTTTTTTCGTCATTTTGCTGTCCTTGTCGTTGTGGTTGTGCTTGTGATTGGTGTTGTGGTGGTGGTTGTTGTTGTGGTTGTGGTTGTCGTCGTCATCACGGAAGCAAACGGAGGGCAAGCCCTCCACCTGGAACGGATCACGCCTCCTCTTTATTTTGCTTAAACTAGGAATAGTTTTTTTACAATTTTTTTTATATATCTGCCTCCTTTCCATTTTGCAGCTAAATTGACGAATAGCTTTTTGATCACTGAAATAGTTTCCTTGATCTTTCCAAAATCGTTTCTTATCTTTTAGAATAGGCTTTTTTGATGCCTCACCCAAGGAGACCGCTTCTTCTTCAGCGGACAAGTCCGATGACCAATGGCTTGAGGACTGGTCCTGGCACTCTTGGAGCTGGAACCAAGGCTACGACGATGCCGCCGACGAGGAAGAGTATTACGAGGATGAGTCGTGGAAAGGGCGGGATCATCGCTCGTCCAGCCGCCGCTGATAATTGCGTCAAGGCACAGCCTATCATCCTGAGGCACAGCCCGAATCAGATCTTTTCTTTCACAAAGTGAAGCTGTGTGCAGGGCTCCCCAGTCGTTAAGGGTACTTTTCGCATAAGCTCTTTCAACTGCACCGTTCTGTCACTGCACGACCGCTGGCACAGCTGTCGCCTCTTGTGCGCATCATCTGTTAGCGCTTTTCTTGCAGGGCGAAAACCCATTCGTGCACCGGACTTGCAGCCCCGACGAAAAGCAGACAGACTTGCTTGATGCTCAACAAAGCACACAACATCAGATTTGTCAGCAGTCAGCTTGCAACCGAACATGCTCATTCGCAGCATGACAGGTACCTTGCTCGCTCGCTTGCGGCCCATCACCATCTTCTGAGAGTGACCAAGTGTGGGACGCCACTAGACTGGCACTCGAGGACCCGGCACAGTTGCTGCTTGCAGAATCGGACGCGTTGGCTGACACTGAGGTTGAGGGTGTCGGAGGTTGTCCTGCTCCAGTGAGTGAGTCAGCTTGGCAGCTTTTTGTTAGGAGTCACGCGCTTTCCGTTACATTCCTATGAGTACTGAGTCAGCTTACACACGTTTCATATGACTGCCAGGTCCCACGCGCAGAGCACGATCACGCAGCGTCCAATTGAATAATTGCCGTCGTCGTTGTTGTTGTGCTGCGATCTCAAGAGTAGTCTTGCAAGAGGGAGTCTCCGGCCCCAGCCGTGACAACAACAGTCACTGGCTCCATCTTGTTTACAGAGCGCTATCAAATCCAGTTTTCGTTTTCTCTTGGGTGAGCATCCCAATGCTGCCCCCACCCCGGAACTAACCCGGCCCCAAACCCGAGGGCGTGTGCGAGAGTGAGAGTCGAAATCCCAGGGCTGAGAACCAACGGCAGGGATCTACCATGCTGCGCAGGTCACAAATGTCGCTAGCTGGGCCCGCCAAAGCAGAAGTACTGCTTGAAGTTGTAGCATGGTTGTTATCCTCGGCGCTAAAATAGCGGGTGCATTTTAGGCCCCATGACTGGGCAAAAGCATGATCCTGGATGCGCGTTGAGGGCCTCATTGCGGCTCAAGGCCCGAGGCTGCCACCCGAAATCGCATCCCCAGCGGCCCAGCCATGCCCAGCCATGCCCAGCCTTTTCAGAAACAGGTTTTCTGGGTCTGAAAGGCAAGAGGAAGCAGAACTTTGCTTAGGTTTTCCATCTTCATGGATTCCGGTCACACACCGACACCACTTCGCAGAGCCGGCAGAGGCGAAACACCGAAGCAATGGCCGGTGCAACCGCATTCCTTGATGCACATTCGGCACTGGCGATCCTTCCGCCGGATGAGCTGCTGACAGAGGCGGCGAAGGGGGGCCTGAGTGTTCTTTCGGGGAGGCAAACCCAAAGAATCAGCGAGAAGGTCCAAATCGCAAGGTTGCTTCAATCTGGATGTGCTTTCACTGGAAGGTGCAGGCAGTGCGCCAGCAGAACGACAAGGCCTACGTCCGATGGCCGCAGGCACTCCTTCTTTCAAAGGGTTTCGATTCTTGTCCGACGGAGTCCTTTGAACCTTAATCCCTGGCTCCTTGCAGGCGCATCTGCGGGTTCTCTGGCCCTTCCTGCCGGTGAGGACTGTTAGTTGGTCCCAGGCTCATGCTCCAATCGTCATTGTCCGACTCCTGCCAGCTCAGTTGGCGAGTAGATTTGTCAATGTGACCGCCCAAAAAGTGAGCGCAGAAGTGGTGAAGGCCAATTCGACGACACAACAACCCTCGAGGCAAAGCGGCGCCCAAACTCTGGCAGAATCTTTATCTCAAACCAACACTGGGTTGCAAGAGGTCATGTCGTAGTGCGCGCGAAAGTCTTGAGTCTTGAACTGGGCGCAGTTCAGGACGGCCCTCCCGCGGCTGGAGCAACTCAACGACAAGCTGCCCGGCAAATGCTTAACACTGCCTGCTACCCGAAGATGTAGCAAGCAGGTGCAAGCCCAAGAGTAGACCATGTGATGTAGCTTGTCATCTTAAAGTTTCCGCACATGATTCTGCCTGTGGCGAGAGAGAGAGAGGGGAAGACGATGATGATGATCATGATGATGATGATGGTGATGGTGATGGTGATGGTGATGGTGATGAAGAAGAAGAAGATGATGATGATGATGGAGGTGGTCGCGGTCGTGGTGGTGATGACTGTGATCATCATGGCGGTGGCTGCTATTCTTCATTCTTCTAGTAGAAGCTCCAGAACTTGACCCAACTCATAGTGTTGGCTTGCAGCCGTCACGAAAGCCGTAAACTTCATCCGCTTGTTGCAGAGGCTGCTAGCCTTCCCCGTCGAGCTCTCGGAGGCTCTCTTGGCTCATAGGGACAGGACTCGTAAGCTAAATCGAGGGATGTTTGCGGCTCACATCGGAGACCGATGTTCAACCCAGCTGCACGTAACGAAGAGCACGCTTCTGCAATGTACAGGGTTAGTTTCGGCGAAGTTGTCTGCTTCAATAACAGCATCTCCGGTGTTCCCAGGTGCGTCTTCTGAACGGCTTGGCGCGCGCGCCAGTGGACAGGGCGCAGCTGGACCACAAAGCATGGTGTGCATAGCCGTGAAGGGGGATAGCTTAGGTACAGTAGCCGCGCATCCAGCCCGAGGATGTGCACTCTTCCCTACTTGCGGCGAAGCAATTGATGCACCGTTTGCCAAGGTATGTTGGCATCACGCCATCCGATGCCACGCGCCGTGCTTTGCTGGATCTCGTGGAGAGGCTCCTGGAAGAATTCCCGGAGACGTGGCTCTCAGAACTCAGAGAGCTCAGAGGTCTGTTCGCCTCAGGTTCGAGCTTCCCGCTTGAGCGCGAGCCGAGGAGTGCCGTGGTGCGGAGAGCGAGGACCCAGACTTCCACGTGACACTGGGGCAGTTTCCACTGCACGAGGCGGGTGCCGTTTCTTGCAGCCCTCTCTGTTGCCATAGGCCAGTATTCGACAGTCCTGCGTGAGCTTCCGAACTGGAGAAGCCTCAATTTGCCGGGTTTGTTCGTCACGCACCTACCGAGGCAGAGCATGTCGTCGCGAGTCATTGCGTGCCTCGACTTAAATTGCATTGCTCCAAGCAGTCCTTGGATCACGCGCACTACGCAGAGGTCCGCCAGCCTTAGCTCCAAGCTGGAAGCTTTGCGCCTCTTTGTGCAGAGGTGCCCCTGCCCCTCGCCTGGCACTGCGGAGCTTTGGCCTTCTGCGCCCGGGCTAACTCCGAAGAGCCTTTCCGGTGCTTTGCCTGAATTCCTGGGTGGTGTTGTGTCCAAGATGAGGACAGAGTTGGGCAGATTTGGGTATGCCTGTAAACCTTGTCGGGGTGCTCTCCGAAAGGGTCTAGTGGAGCGGACGCAGAATTGAGCTTCTTCGCCGCAGAAGCAGAAGCCCATGGAACTTCACAGTGCTGTTTGCCGGAGGCTGGTCCAAAGCATTCCGCTGAGGCCATGCCTGGAGCGGCAAGCAGGGGTTTTGCAAACCCGTAGATCGAAGGTGGATGATCCCATGTGCATCCTGACGACCGAAATCATCCAAGAACAAAAGGGCCCAAGTTGGCTGGTATCTGGTGCTGTGTAGGTGGGCCTTGCCACTAGTCGTAGTCCTTTCCACATCGCAAAGCTAGCAAAAGACCCGTCACTTGCGTCCGGGAGGCCTTTCTACCCGCCAGCGCGAAAAACCATCATGCCGTGGCTGAGCTGTGTTGGGGCAGGTTCAATGTTTGGGGCGCTTCATTTGGACCTGTACACAGTCCAACGTGCACTCCGACAGGCAATATCTTAAAGCAAGAGAAGAAGGCTGCTGAGGCATCTCTCCTGAGGTCAGATGTGTTTTGTGAGCTCACATGGACAAAGTGAAGCCGCGTGTGGTTCGGCACCTTGCATGGATCCATGCCCTGCTCCGACTCGCTGTCGGTGTTGCGGACGGAGGCATCTTCCCTCGCTAGCTTGGTGTGCAGTTGTCGAGGCAGGCCCGTGGACGAGAATGCTCCTGGTTGCATTCGCAATAGCATCTCTATCTTCAGCATGGATGCTCGACAATCGCTTAAACCCAAGTGAGCGACTCGTTCAGGGCTCCTGGCGTGATCACGAAAGCCAGCTGCTAGCTCCGGAGCTTGTGGAAGTTGTTGTTTACAGAGTTGGTTTGGGGTCAAAAAAAATGTAGGGTGCACTTGCTCGTGATCCTGATCTATCAGGGATCTAAGCGTAAGCCGGGGCCATGAGTGGGGGGCCTCCCCGGCAGAGCCGCTAACATAGCCGCAGCGGACATCTGCACAACTAAAGACTGCAGCCTAACACTGTTTCAATATGTTTCAATTCACCACAGGCTTCTTTTCCGACTCGCTATTAACAAGCACAGGCATCGACGAGTTTGTAGGAGGGTAAACTAACGCTTCAAGAAGTCGTTAATCTTTCTTGCGTTAGGGACGAGCTTCAGGCTTAGGTTTTATGAGCATGCACACGAACTCAAGTTCTCTGTCCAACCTGATTAGATGATGGCTGCTTTCCTGCCAGTTCGCAGCACAGCCTAAAGAAGAGCACTGCATCATGTGATGCTCTCATTTGTAACACACTGCGCCTCCGAGCCTTAGTGTTCGTCTGCTCTGCTCTCAAGTGAGAATGATCCAGCAGCACAGTTAAGTCCATCTGGGTATTGACTTATTAACCCACATAGTTGCCCCTGAGTCATCCGTAGGATCTCCTAAACTTCCTTCGTGTCGTTCCTTCAATGGACATGGTTATTGGAGGCATGATAGCAATGCTCTACACGCTGCTCTCCACGTGGTTTGCAAAAACTCTTGATCGCACTTGCGCCTCACAAATGCTGGCAATGCTGAATTCGGCCGTTCCACAGATGCTTTATTGCTTCTGGCTTGTGGGGCTTCTTGTCCGGCTTCGTTCTAGCAAAGGGATAAGGTGAAGGCGTAACGAGGATGCGCCTCTGGAGAGAGACGAGCTGAACCACAAGAATTCGGTTAAGCTAGAGGCTAGAATCGCTGTCAACAGGAGTTTCTGTTCATGCGAGATGGAGTATATGGAGTAGGATGCATGTCGACGCTATGCCAGTAACAGAAGCTGTCCAGATTCATCGAACAAAGCCAGCCACCAGTGAGCTGTTGAAGCTCAGCCCAAACCCAAGATTGGACCAATGGCAGTCTGCCAGTGACTGCTGTGTACTTGCAGGAGAGAGGGCAGGATCCAAGCCAATCCCTTTTTTGGCGACAGACAACTTCCGGGACGTGTCTGTTTTGTTGCATTTTTTTCATGCAAGCTCATGATTCGCCAGGCACTGCCAGTAGGAGATGCGGCGCGAATGACCAGACTGCTGCAGCGGCAGGCCGGATTCGAAGGCTGTTAAGGAATCTCGAAGGCGTGAGTTTTGAGAAGGACCAGTGTATCAACCTGGTTTCGCTAGATGGGGTGAGCACTGATGGTTCAGGGTGCCAGGATGCTAGTGAGGAAGCTAAGCCAGCTAAGAATGGAGCCCCGAAGCAAAAAAAGCAAAGCTCTGCTAGCCCTCGCAGTTTCGGAAGGGCAGCTGCTCAGAAAAGACTCCGATCTATGACTGAAGCATTCGCCTGAGGGCATCGCTTGGAAAGAAGAGTGGTGGCACAAACTGATTGGAGACTACTTCAACGTGGACAGCCTGCGGTCGCTCGGTAGCCGAGTATCGTGAGACGGGGAATGGGTTCTTCGGGGCCCTGATATGCTGCTAACACAGCGCGCAAGCAGTGCAATGAGACAGGGATTGGCGAGGCAGGATGAACTGTCGGTCTCGGGTTTATGCCGTCAGGCCACTTATCCCGAATGGCTCCGCAATCGAAAGATGCTGCGAGGTTGCAACAGCTACCCGAGCTTTCTTTCTGCTCGCTGGCAGCTGCAGCGGCGGTTGCTGCAAGCCTGCGCTGGGCGGCCGTCTCTGGGAGCAAGGAGTGTCTCGGGAACGAAAACGAACGAGCCTGAAACTTGAAGCTGTCAGGATATCTCAAGCCATCCGCAGGGTCTCAGGGCCTACTTAGGCTTCAGTTGATGATCTGACATTGTGTCTGACAGGCTGGTTCCTGTGCTCTGAATCCGGATCGGAGAGGTATAACAGGCGTGTTGAAACGACAGATAGAACCGGAAGCTCGTCCTTGCTAAGTGGGAGGGAAAAAAATACCGGAAGCCCGAGCAGCACTCCTTCCACGCAGGCAGACCCCATCTTCGAGTGCAGGGTCCTGCGGGAGTTTCAAGCGAACTCTTCAGTCCCGTGGCTCCAACTTTGCGGCTGAGCCAGATTAGCCAGCTATGTACCTACGCCCACAAGTAGAGAGCAAGGGCAACGATGACAGTGGAATGATTGTGGAGACCGCGTCGAGGGTCAGACTACCGCTTGCTTGGAACCGGCACCAGGTTCGCCAGGAGGTCCTGGCAATGCCGTTTCAGACGGCGAGCTGTGTGCGGCACAGCGACTCACGCTTGCTGGCGGTGGGGGAAAGCAGCAGCAAAGACAGTGGCCCTTCGGTGTGAAGACTGGTGGATTGTTTTCAGCTTCTCAGCACGCATACTTGTCAAGAAGGGTGTTTTTTTCTCGCAATCGCCCACCCCAATCCAACAAACATCCCGACCTCAAGGGCAGGAACCTCACCTGTACTTCATGAAGAACTTCGCTTCGAATCTGAGAGATGCTAAATAAACGGAAGCAAGTCTCCGTAGATGAGGGCAGAAACTGCCTTTCTCCTTGAGGCCTGGCAATCTGGAATTTGGCCAGCTTGAACGAGAAGCCAAGCTTTTGCAAGCTTCGGGGCCACATCCAAAGCATTGATGTCTGGCGAGACACCCTCCTTGTGCTTGGGAAAGGACGGCATTGCTTTGATGACGAAGGGATGCAGGTTAAGTCTGACTGTGAAAACGTTTGCAGCCTTCTCAGGCTGAATATCCCTCCCGCTGTAGTCTAGGAGAGAACCTGAACTCTCCAAGCTCTCTCGGGGTGTTACAAGCGCCGAAGGAGGCTCGCTTGCATTGCACGACCTCTCGGATCCTCGCGCCACGCCGACCTCCCTCGGACCGGTGCCCAGTTCTGGAGCTAAAGTACATAACCTCGATGGATCTGCCTCTCACAAGTCATGACAAGAAACGTTATCGCCACAGGGCCAGAAGACTCATGGCAGGGGAGGAAGAGTCACCAGGATAAGCAGCACGAGCGAGCGGAAGAGGCAGGCGGCAGAAGCAGGACGAGAAACAGCAGCATCTGGGACAGCAGCAACCCGAACGACATCATCAGCGGCAGCGCGAAGTGCATGCACTCAAGTATACATGCAGGAGCAGACAGCCTTAAGCAGCCCCGTCCCGCAAAGCCTCAGATCCTAAGGCCGTAAGGGTGACGGGGCTGTGCGGGACGCCCACTGGATGGCTGGAGGGCGCGTGGTGGCGGCCTTCGCGCAGAAGGCAAGGAACCAGGGTGCTTTGAGGCTGGGAGCTTAGCCCGAAGGAGTTCGGCCGGGTTGCTTCAAGCAAGGACCTAAGGCCAAGGACGTACCCGCCTGGAGGGCCGAAGCCTTGTCCTTGAAACTCCCTTGGCGGACCTGCCTGCAGGTCCGTGTGATCGACCTGGAGGCCGCCTGAGTGCCACGGAGTTTGAGAGGGTATCAGCCTGGTTCGTGTCGAAGAGCGGCCTGGGGTCACAAGGTCGCCAGGGCAGAATGTCCATGTCGTCGATACCTTGCGTACGTCTGTGTGGGCCATCAAAGTTCATCACTAGTTATGCTGATTGTCGGCCAGGAAGGCCTGCATAACCCGCATAAAATTTGCCGCGTTCGCACTTCCGCAATCACTGGCCTGATAGGCTTCAGTTGGTGTCCAGATCGATCGTTCCGAGGCTATTCTTTTGACCACCTGTTCAGCCAGGCTGACGGTGGTCGTCAGAGCTGCGACATTGCCGGCACGCTCTCGTGCCCGGTCATTGCCCCGCTGGATGCGGACCATGTGGCCCTGAGCGGACCGTCCAGCTGTGTCATTTGGGATCTCAGGAAGTGGCTCAGCCGAAGCAGGCTTGCCCTGCGTCCCCCCAGCCTGAGCCCAGAAGCATGTCTTGGGGGAGTTGGAGAGTCGTGTTGCTAAGGTCCGCTTCCGCAATGGAGGTTCCCTGGCCGTCCTCCTTCTCCTGCACGGCTCTCGCAGCCAGTGGAGCCAGTGGCCTCCTGATAGGTGGCCGCGGTGCCCAATGCAGCCCAGTGCACACTTTGGACCTGCGGATGCCGACGACCCGTGAGGCCACTCGTTCAGAAGTCCGGACAGGCACGGAGCCGGGCGACCGAAATGCGCTCTCAGGCCATCCTTCCGATTCCTGGACACGAGCTGCGGGCAGACAAGGCAAGTCTGGTTGTAAAGCTTACGAATCCTTCAAAAACGCTCGCACCACGCTGTGCAAGGTGCTTGCAGCGAGCTCCTGCTTTTCCGCACAGCTTCTTGGACGGCAAGCACGCTCTTCCCGAGTCAGAAACCCAACCCAGCACAAGTTTGAAGGCAGTGTACTTTGCAAGTTGCCATGTGCACCCGCCTTGGAAGGAACATGTTTCTCGAGACCAGGAATTCGAGAGGGGGGGTCTGACCTCCTGCAGACGTGCGAGGTTTGATGATGGCAGTCTCGCCCTTTGGCATGCCGAGAGCCATTCTGCTCTGGGCTGGTGGCCCAACTCCCAATGCCGGTTCCCCAGGTTGTTGAAATGAAAGGTATTTGCACAAAACAAGGAGAGGAAGGGCTAAGAACAGCACGAGACGATGAAGCGATGAGAGCTGCCAAGAAGTCATCATCGCCCCAGAAGACCGCAGCACGGGAAGGAGTAGCAAGCACACCACAGCCACGACAATCACGACAACGGTGACCGCGCGGATGCCACCGCAACTGCCACTAGCGCTACACCTACTTCTGTCATGACGACGACGACCAGTACTGCTGGTACCACTCCTGGCCCTACTGCTGCTGCTGCTGCTGCTGCTGCTGCTGCTGCTGCTGCTGTGCGGCGGCTACGGCTGCGGCTGCCAGTGAGAAGAGCGAAACTGGGTTGACCAAAACAGGACCAGTTAATGGCCTAGCAACAGCAAAAATGTGGATGATAGCTGTGGGCACATTAATACAGTCTGTGAGGGCAACGTAAAAATCGAACAATGGGACAGGCCTGGCACTTTGTTCAACGCGTTTTGGAAAGAGCTCACAACCCACGGATTGCATACGCAAGATTCGAGCAAAAATCAGCATCACCTGCCCGAAGCGACCCGGCAAGGCAAGACATGGCACACTATCCCTGAGCGATTAAACCAGGGCGACTGCCTATTGGAGCCATGCATCTTCAACAACCTTGAAGCAAATCTGCTAGTGGCCAACAGCAGTAGCAGTGGGCAGCCATCAAAAGAGGTGACAGGCAACCAGGAATCAGATACGAATAGGCCGAGAATAACTGTATCACAGCAGCCGGAAAGTCCGCACTGCGGAAAATCCGCACTGCCGGATTGATGAAACATGATAGAACACGAGAAGGTGACCTTCCAAACACTTCCAGCAATCACAGGGTGAGCGAGTCTCTCATAAAGACACAGAAGACACACTTGGACTCGTGTTGAGCTATGCCAGAATTGGCGTCCCAGACCATGATCACCAAAATTTGATTGGCTTCTAATGTCTGTTTGGTGCATGTGCTAGCTGCAATCTAGTGACTTATGTATGTTTACATCTACATCTATATCTACATCTAGACCGTCTAAACCTATATCTATATAGTATGTATGCATGTATCTATCGATATGTTTGTGCATATATATATACACACGTATATATATATATATGTATTAACATGTCGTCTGTCTGTATGTATAGAGCGAGTGCTAAAAATGTATGTATGTATGTATGTATGTTTGTATGTATGTATGTATGTATGTATGTATGTATGTATAATGTATATATACCTATATATGTATGTATGTATGTATGTATGTATGTATGTATGTATGTATACGCCCATACACACATGCATTTTTTCTTTCTATACATATGTATGTGTGTATGTACATATGCATGTATGTATGTACTTGTGTGTGTATAAAGATATATATATATATATATAGGCATGTATATGTGCCTGCCCCCTTGCTCGGCTGGGACTGAGACCGTTCGTCCGAATGCCGTCATGAAAAAAATATATATCCATATATATATATATGTGTGTGTGTGTCTGTGTGTGTACGCATACATAGTATCTAACATATTATATACTATACATTGTAGATGGTATGTTGTATATTATATGTTATAGATTATACATTATAGTATAGTACAGTGTCTATATATATATAATATGTTATATAGATATTATCTAATGTAGCAGCTCCAAGGAATCGAGGAAGAAGTAGGAGCAGCTGTTGGTGTGAAGGAATTGCTGGCAGTGAACGCAAATCGCCCGAAGCCCCGGAGAACCTTGGCACATTTTTCGTGCTGAAGGAAGCACAACTGCGTGTCGAGGCGTGTCCCAACCCACTGCTGAGCACTGCACCTGGCATGGCCTGGCCGCCGCCGGCGCCGGGCGGCTGCGAGTGGCGACGCCAGGCCGACGTCTCGGGTAATTGCAGTTCGATCAACTCAGTTTCCGGTTCAGAGAGTGACTGTTTCTGGTATGTCGGAGACCGGGACGTGCCGAGGCTAGGGCTAGGAGATCACAGGCGACGGTTCGACAGCAAACAGATCCTTTGGAGCGTGTTCCGGACGAGCAAGTTTGCTGGCATGTCTTAACGCCTCGTCCCGCTGTTTTGCCACCTCATGCTGTCAGCTTGTGCTTTGTTTCTCCTCCTCTCAAAGGCATGAAAGCCACCCTTCAGAGGGGCCATGCGAAGAAGGAAATCAAGGCCGCCTTGCATGAGTCAGGTGAGAAGTTACGCTAGAAAGTGCGTACTTGCGGAGAGGGAAGGCTGTGGCCTGCTTCGGCGCATGCCGTCCATACGACCCTTGCAATTCCAACACGAAGCCCCCTGGAGCCATTTTGGTTCAGGTCTTGCTCAAGCTAGAACTGTCGCACGTGTGGGTAGTGCCAAAAAGGCCTTCCGAACATGAAAAGTTTTGCAGCTTTCGCGCTCTTGGCGGTGACGAGCCAGGCAACCGAAGATGCAGAGCGGGCTAGAATTCTGTCCGAGATCGAGGCACTCCGAGGCCAACTTCAGAAGCAGCGCACGATCATCCAGCAGCAGTTCACCCAGCTCGCCAATCTCGAGGAGGACGAGGAGCGTCGCCTGCAAACGGTTGGCAACGTCACAGCGACTGCCTGGGCAACAGAGAAAGCCGCTCTTGAAGCGACTGACGGGAGCATGGCGGCGGCCATGGACACTCTTTGGCTCTGCTTGTGCGGAGCCTTAGTCATGCTCCTCGGTTGTTTTCCCATAGCCTTGATTCTTCTGGAGATGTTAAACTGTTAAACCCAATGTACAAGTACTCCAGGTTCATGCATGCCGGCTTCGCCATGCTGGAGACCGGATGCTGTCGTTCCAAGAACGCATCCAACGTTTTGATGAAGAACTTGGTGAAGCTAGGCTTGAAGTCATGTTTAAATTCAGCGCAGCTGCTTCTATAACATAGAATCAGAGAATCCATCAAGCTTCGGCAGACATGCTTCTTCATGCAATGGTGGCATGCGTTTAGCTCAGGAACGTCTGTGCTCGGACCTAAGTTGCTAACAAGCAACGCTTGCATCCTTTTGCGCTTGGGTGCGCTTGTGTAGGGTTGTGCGCTTAGGTGCCTTTGGCTGGCTTGCGTAGGGAAGGAGCGATGCAGTTTTTGTTTGCACGGCAGGCGGATGCAGCCCCAATCTATCCCAATCTGCGCCACGTTCTGGCGGAGGGTTTGGCCGCCACCCCCATCCCAAACCCGAAATATGACACCTCAGTGTGCTTGAGTTCTGGAGTCCAAAATTGAGCTGAGCAATCTATTGTGCGTTTTTTAACGCCTTGTGAACGCACAGCTTCGACACCCCAGACCCTACACACCCCTCCAAGCCCTCGAAGGCCTAAGCAGACGGAGGTCCAGACTAGAAGGGTCTGCAAACAAACGAAGGGCCTGCAAAACCGCTAGAGCCTCAGAAGGGGAGCCAGTAGACTGCAACACAGCTGAGCAAGTTTCAGGCCTTCAGAGAGGCAGTTTGTCTGCGCTTGACCATGGCTGACCGACCAAAGCTGCAGTACAGTACTCTTGGTCCTGTGTCTGTGTGGCTCTGTGCGTTTATGGTGCCTCGAAGAACACACGACATGCTACAAAACCTCGTGCCAAAGTTATCTTCGTCATGTGTCTGTGTGGCTCTGTCCGTTTATGGTGCCTCGACAGACGCACAACACGCTACAAAACCTCTTGCCCAACCCCCTTGATCTTTGTAGCAAGAAGCGCGCTTGGCAAGAGGTGCGCTTGGCAAGAAGCACGCCTGGGGTGCATGTTATGTCGGAACTGCGCCTGTGATGCTGGCGCGCTTTACAAGAAGCGCGCTTCTCAACAACTGAGGTTGGGACTCTTGGTTGGTGGGTGCTTGGCTATGCATTCGCTTATGGAGGCGGCATCAACCGCTTCATTGGCACGACGAACTTCCTGGGTGAGGGCTTCTACACGAAGGATGCATCCGGAAACATCCTGGCCCCAGGTTGTGCCAACAATGCTTGCCAGAGCACGGCACTTGCGTGGTTTTTTCAGTGGCTAGGTACCGATTTAGGACAATAATTGATTTCCCGTGCAGCCCAAAAGTTGCGGGGGGCTGATGAAATCGACACTCCTAGGTGGGCGTTTTGCACTGCTGGAGCCACGATAGTGAGCGGGGCTGTTGCTGAGCGCGTCCAGGGTCCAACATATGCCAGCTATGCTTTCGTCATGACCTCTTTGATCTATCCTGTGGTCGTACATTGGGGTTGGAGTGGCAGCGGCTTCCTCGGAGACATCCTGGATGTTGGCGTTGCTCGGCTGTTCTTCGATAACCCTTCAGTAAGTTATGCCGGGCCCGCTGCCAACATGCAATTCAGATGACACTAAAACCATGTTGGTAGCTCGAAGTGCATGACGAACCTATGTGGATTCCGATAGCGGCGAAGGTCATGGATTTCGCCGGTAGTGGCATCGTGCACCTGACCGGTGGAGTCAGTGGCCTTGCAGGCACCATCGTGCTGGGGCCACGCAAAGGGCGCTTTGTCAACCCAGAAGAGTTCGAGCCTCATAACCTTCCGCTGGTGGTCTTCGGAACGTTCGCACTGTGGTTCGGCTGGTATGGGTTCAACCCGGGTTCAACCCTGGGCATGTCCGACGGTGCCACTGGTGCGCTGGCGGCCCAGGTGGCCATGAACACCACAATCGCTGCAGCCACGGGCGGCATCACTGTCTTCCTCCTACGGTACCTCATCCTTCGCAAGTATGATGCACCTTGGACTTTGTAAATGGGCTTGACTTGTTGCTAAGACCGCAGAAAAAAGCAAACGGAAACCAGAACCAGTGTTCCTAAAGCAACCCCCAGGTGGGCGGGCTCTGCAATGGCATCTTGGCAGGGCTTGTTTCCATCACGGCACCGTGCGGCAACATTGAATGTGGCAGTGCATTCGCCGTCGGGTTCATCGGTGCCCTTGTCTACCAGGGATCCTCCATGCTGCTCCAGAAGCTGAAGATTGACGACCCCGTGGATGCAAGCCCAGTCCACGGCTTCTGTGGAATCTGGGGTGTGCTCGCAGCTGGTCTCTTCGACTGGGGCAAGGGCTTCGATCACTTCCACGGCTGGAGTGGCTGGGGGTGCATGACGGATGACAGCGGCGCCTGCCAGACGGGCATCAACGGTTCAGCCCTCGGTGCACAGGTCATCCTGATTCTCATGGTGATCGCCTGGGCCGGCACGATCTCGGCTTTGACCTTTGCTCTTCTCAAGTGGTGGGGAGCACTGCGGATTTCTGAGGACACGGAGGACATGGGCCTCGACGCCAAGGCGCACTCGCCCCCAAAGGCCTACGCCTTCTCTGCTTGAGTGGCCCTCAATGCACAAGCCAAAGGTCAGAATGTGTAGGAGTGGAGCTCTTACACATCCGATATTTCTAGGGCCCCAGAGCTCTAGGAATCGCTGCTGCAGGGTTCTAGACACACAACTAAGAGTGTGTGCGAAGATGCCCACTCTTTCCAGTTTCGCGGAGCTGTGGCATGATCAGTCTGGGTACTGTTGCTCCTAGAAGCTGCATCAATCGCCAAGGACATTGCAGGACTTTCCAGGCCCGGCACAGACAAACCCGGAAGCATGCTGCCGTCCGCCTCTGCGAATCAATTTTCTTGCATGAATTAAGCCACGAACTGACGACTGACGCTGAGAACAACGACTTGCGGAAAATCTAGTTGTTGTGCGTGATACACTTGCATCATATGCCGTGAAGTCGGGTGGAAAAAAGGGGACGTAAGGGATGCCGTCAATGCATTGGTAGCCCGGTGCCTTGTGACGCTGCGCACGGCCGTGTGAGGCTGCACGGCCAGCGCCCACAGCATCTCCACAGCCGGCCCAGGGCTCAAAGCCCAGGCCAAGTTTCTGATGGGATATAGAGACAGCTCATGCTAAATATTTTTCAAGGAATCAAAGGTTTGCGACTTGGGCTCTTGGATTGAATGACCGCATAACATGTCTGCAGCTCTGCAGGGTATTCTGTACTTAAAGCGACGCTGATGCCAACTGCTTGCGCAGGCTTCGCACCAGCGAAGATGTTTATCACCGGCTCATTCACGACGAGCGCTTTCGTGCTCCGAAGGTGATCATGGGCCCCTTGGACGGCTTCAAGCATGAGCACATTAGCAGGAGTCCGCTGAGCCCAGAGCCCCGTGGACGCGGAGGCTACGAAGATCGCTTCCTCGGCCCGATGGAAGTGAAGCTGCTGGACTTTCGGCCAGGCCAGTGCGAAGGGTTTCCCCTGGCATTTTGAGGCTTAGAGTCTAGGAGCAGAACAAAAAGAAACTTTCAGAACCCACAAAGGCCTGAATCACCAGAAGACTCAGCCCTGCAAGGCGGCGACATACCTTACCACCGGGTCTACTATTTCAGGGAGGAGACCAAGGGTTCTGGAGCGATTCGCAGCTTGGGGAGAGCTGGATATGTTGGGCCTGGGGATGTTTGGACACGTTCCGACATGCTGCTTGAAATCACGTGGTGGTCCGTAGACTGCAGCCGAGCTTATCTGGCATTTGTCCAAGAAGCTGTTCGTTCAGGAGGAGCAGGTCCTTTGGGATCGCCGAGCCCGGTTGGACCGGGTCTTCGGCACTGGCGAGGTGTACCATGCAGCAAAATCGAGATAACTTCTCCGCATGTGCATGTATGCACACGCGTAGTATGCTTCTGCATAGACTAGACACGGCATCCTTGCATGTGTTGGCACATCTACACGTACACATGTTCGTAGCCGGTCGCTTCTACAGCGTATGTCAGACCGACAGCAGCAATCGCCGCTCTGTGCGTGCATGTATGCCGATTCGTTGTACGCATGGCAAGGCTTTTAAGGAGAGCTGCCGTAGAGTCTATCCGGTTAAAAATTCTGCAAAAACATGTGGAGCACATGTTTGCATGTCGCTTCTTCTCCATGTCTCTCCCTCTCTCGATTTGTCTTTCTCGTTTCCTCTCCATCGCTCCCTCTCCGCTCTCTGCCGCTCGTCCGCGCTCTCTCTCTCTCTCTCTATCTCTCTCTATCTCTCTCTCTCTCTCTCTCTCTCTCTCTCTCTCTCTCGCACTATCTCCACATTTCTCGCTCCCTGTCCAGCTTCACTCCCTCACTTGCTGAGCATGTTGCGGGTTGCGATTTCTGTTTCTGCCTTAAGCAGGAGGCAGGGCATTTTCGGTTGTAGGGTCAGGATTCTGCCAGGCCATGTCCCAAGCAGCGGCAGCCGAGACAGAGGCGCGGTGCAAGCAGTGTTCTGTGTAAAAAAACTTGGTCTGCTTGGGTCTACTACTTTTCTCGTAAACGACAAAAGCCTCTGTGCCGTCGACTTGCCCCCACGGTGTGCAGTCAACCGAAAAGCTTCGAGTGCCATTTCTCCCGGCAGCAGCTTCTGCTCACTGGACTCTTGCCGCAAAACGCTTTATAGTTCCAAGCCCGTCACCCTGGCTGGGACGTTGGATTGAGTCGATCGGGCACAGTGTTTTCGACTTGCGGCAGAAGCTGCAGTTTTGCCGAAGCCACATGGACGTTGAAGCCTGAGAGGAAGTGATCTGCCGGGCTAAACAGACGATGATGAAGATTGACAAGGGCATCATCAAGGCGGGCAGGGAGGGCCGACACATGTGTCAAGACGGTTTGGAGGTGGGAGGATCCACTGGAGATGATTCTGCCAGCTTTCTGGATTTTGTTCATTATAGGCCCTTGTCCATGCATTTGTTGGAAGGTGCGCTGGAGCCAGACTGAGGATCGAAAGGCTCGGACCTTGTTCCCTGGAAGACCTGGTCTGATGTCAGACTGAGATACGGAGAAATTGCACCAACTTGGGCGGACTTGTCCGGCACGGTGTCAGATGATGTTGGCAGACGGCTTACGGCATCTTTAAAGATGCCAGGTGCTGCTAGTGCAATATCAATACCAGTCGCAGTGGGTGTTCAGATCCGTCGTCCTGTAACGGCACATCAGCGTTCTGAACACCTCTTTCCTGCCTTGCGAAGGCCCCAGCAGAAGAGATACAGGTGATGAAGTACTCCGCGGAGGTTCGACATCTCGGCAGCGCGTTCCCAACCAAAAGCGTCGTAAGATCCCTGAGCCCTGGAACGCTGAGTGAACAGCGAGGCGGAAGCCTGGCTGCCATTCCCTGGCGCTGCCACTGCCGTAGCATTGACAGAGCTCCGGGTGTCCTGGCCAGTATTTATCTCCTACCACAAGGGTCAAACCAAAACATAAGTTCCTTAAGAAGCCTCCTTGCGCACGGCAGCGGATGGGCAGCTTCAGAGACCAGCATCAAGTAGCAAACGACCGGAACCGGCACAGTTAGGGCTCTCTTTGCATGCCTCCGGCCTGCAACACCCAAGCTACAGGTGAAGGTCCAGTATCATGAACATCGGCCAACAGCTCCCAAAAATTGCACTCGGATGTGGTATACTCCAGGCGGATTTCGGAACGAAGTCGATTGGCGGTAGGATGGAACAGCTTCCACCAACGGGTTATTTTAAAGTTTGGAACAAGTAGGGTTGGGAATTGCAGAAAAAAGACATGAAGGAACGTGCAGGATGTGTTGCCACTCGCGAAGTCACTGGTGACAAGCCGATAGCAAAGATGTCATCGCTGAAGATTCGTGTCAACACGATCAGGTCGCTGATGGTAGAGTGCGTAGACAAGGGGTTTGCCAGTTTGAAGGTTTGAAATCAAGGCCTGGGTATCCCGATGCGAGAAGGCCACAGACAAGCCGATTGATGATGATCCATTGATCTCTGTTATGTACTGTTTTTTACGCAGAACACCCTGGGCCCATTGCAGCAGCATTGCAACATCCGCGAAAGAGCATTGAGAGCTTCCGGACTGCCGTAGATATAATCTCAGCTACGCCAAGCACAGATATCGTACTACTAGCAGCTTTGCTCACAGCCAGTGGCCAGCATTCTTGCGCACGAATTAGTACTAGTCGATTCGCCCACAAACAACGGACGCTTGCGAGAAGAGCGATTTAGGCGTGAGTCACTATGTAGGCCGGCTCGCCGTTTTGTCTCGGCAAGATTCGGCAAGAGCTCGACAAAGGGAAACTCTACGATTGCAGCAACTTCGTGTCCCAGGTTACTCCTCAAGCTGGAATGCATGATTTGGTTTTGATAGTGTCCTTTTATGCTTTTTTTGGTGGGATCGTTCAGGGGGGCCTACTAAGGCGATAAACCGAGGTGAAGTCATCTAAGTATGTCTAAATTCTCTAAGCGTAGCTAGGGCGGCGCTAGATAAACCGCAGGCCTCCCGAGACAGTCCCTTTTGTCCTGGCTGAACTGTCCTGGCTGAACCAGGTCCTAACCTTCAATGTCCTCTTCGAGCTGTTTGGGGATGTTGAGACGCACATGGAGGCCAACCTAGACCACCTTCCCAGGGCCATCCCAGCAGGCGCAAGCAAGATCGGCTCCAGGACAAGGTGTTTGCAGCCATGTCGATTCTTCGGCCGCAGTACGGGTTCAAGAAACAGGGCGAGGGCGGCACCCATAGTTGGGTAGGGCCGGGTCTGGACGTGTCTCGTGCTGAACGGCCTTTGCAGGCAAGATTGGTGCAGATATTCCGGGAGCTATCGCGTTGTGGAGCTGACATCATGGCTTTGCAGGAGGCAGGTTGGCTCACGAACAGGATGATGCTTAGGAAGCTGCGAGAGGGGAACAGAGCGAGAGACAGAGAGAGAGAGAGAGAGAAGTCTGCCGAAAGAAAGAAAGAGAGAAGTTTGTGAGCAAGGCCAAGAGATTCTCTCCAGTAGTTGTGCCTCGAGGGACCGTGGAAGACCCGATTGCAGCTTGCAGGTTATACATGGTCGTGGTTTAAGAAGTTTTTTTTTTGGGAGGGGGGGATGGGTCTACAAGCTCAATCGGGGGAACACGTGTTCTCTCAACCCCACAACAGGCCACGAAGACCTTTGGATCGCGAACTGTTGTGGGGCAGGCCCTCGGGCCGAGAGCCCATACTCCTAGAGCAAGCCAGCAAGCCAGCAAGAGCGAGACCAGGTGCGCGTGCGCATGCGCGCGCGCGCNNGGGGGGGGGGGGGGGGGTGGTGCAGCTGTGCCCCCATGGGCCCGAAGTTTCTGACCATTGGACTTCGGTGTAGCTCTTGCCGGCAGGTCACCCCGAAGTTCGCAGAGGCGCTTCTTGCGCAGCCCTGGGTGCGGGAGCAGTGCTGGTCCAGTGCAGGCCCAAATTCCACAGCCACTTGTCTCCAGAAGACCTTCGCTCCAGACTCATTGAGTCGCACTGCACATATCGGTTCGAGGCAACCGTCGACCCGTCCGGCCAGCTCATCTTGTCCAAGGTCCCCATGGATTCAGCCTCTCTGGCACGCACAAGCCTCAGATGTCAGCCGCCTCCTGGGGTCAATCCTACATGGAGCGGTGTAACGCATGGCAAGCGTCTGGCTACACCTCATGCCAGCTGGCGAATCCCTCGTAGTCTTCTGTTGACTGAGACTGGTGACGAGGTAGGCGGTGGCCTGCGAGTCAAAGCTGTCCTTGCCCGTTTGCCGTCTCTCAGGAATCAGCCCTCACAAGACTGTTATCCTGGCCTCCTTCCCTGTCTTGCTGGGCGAGAGCCGGGCGGTGCCGTGGCAGAAGTTGCTGCTGGACGCCGATCCAACTATCCCACTTGCGCCTCATGGTGGCACTGCACCACCTCCTGAGGTCACGGTGGCCAACCTCCATCTCCCGGCGGATTCGAAGCAGCCCCGCCGCAGGGAACGCCAGGAGCAGCTGCGGATTTGCGAGAACCTGCTCTTGGAAAGGCCCAAACCGATCAAAGTTGTCTTACGCCTTATGCATCCGTGTCGAAGGAGCCACCTTACTCTTCCGTGCCTTGCTTTTTCCGAGTGCACACACCTCTGAACAGACCGAAGGTGAGGGACAACGTGCGTAAGCCGTAAGACAACGAAGGCGGTGAATCCTCCATCCACCAAACGGTGTAGTGCATTTTTGCGATTCTACAATCCTTCGAGAGAAACTCTGCGCAGATGCTCCACCAAAAGCTTCAGACTTCAGCTCCCCAACTCAGATGCCACCTGAGCTGTGCCGAAGGTCAGGACCCACTGACTTGACTTTGCTTCTGGGGGACTTCAATTCGGCTCCTGAGGTGGAGCCGGCCCAGTTCAGGACCGGAGGGGCTGGAAGGGGCTCCAAGTATTTTGTCCTCTATGACATTCTTGACTCTCTCCTCACATGCTTGCACTCTCTCTCTCTCTCTCTGTGGACAATGGCTAGAAGGAGGAATGAAATACATTGCAGGAGAATGCAATTACCCATCTCGTCCAGCACGAGGCACATGGCCAAGCATAGTAACTGCAGCGCAGGCATACTACGTGGCACTTTGGGAAACCTTTGGTACCCGTTGATGCTTCCCAAAGAGGTACCTAATCATAAATACCTCTAAGGGCACCAAAACTACAACTCAGCATAGTGTAACAGCAACAGTCGGCTTCATAATCTGCTTCGGGCTTGGAGTGGCATTTCGAGGAAGAGTGGGAGGGCGGGCATGCGCTCGCTTTCCTTGTCTGTGCTGAAGAAGGGCTAGCGCATATGCATAGATTGACACAGAGGTAGATCGAGAGATAGTTTGATTTTGCACATACCTGCAAGACGCTAATGCACTAATGCGCACATACAGGTGTGTGCGCACGTGTAATGCAGAACGTGTGCACCTACGCAGTCTTCGAAGGTATGACTGCGCGATTTCGTGTATACACAAGCAAGCACGCACACGGTGACACGAAAACACACACACACAAACACAAAC